TCCAAATTAAAGTCATCGTCTCGGTGTCACAAAGTTCCATAAGTTCGCGTATACTAGTTTTAAGGTAGTGACACTGAGGCAACTATCTTTATTATGGTGTTCGGTGGCCATAGCCTTCGTGGAAATGTAATCGGCACCGACTCGTTCTCTCTCGTTTGCTCCGTATTCGTGTGTATATCATGGGCGCAACTAGAGCTCAAATATTGAGGTTGCTGAAATTTCTGAAAATAAAATAATATGGTATTTAATTGTAATTACTATAGATTATATAGATCTGAAAAAAACAGGAGTGCTACATTTGAATTCGGGGGTATTAAAAACCCTATTGCACCCCCCTAGTTACGCCTATGGTGTACGAGCAAAGTTTGTAAATTCATCGTCAGTCTACATCCTTTTTTGTAAAACCACGTTTTCAATCAATTTTGTATTGGTCTTTTGGTAAGTGACGCTTTTGCGCAGTTACATTGCCAGTTTGTTATAGTTCCCATTGTTTAAGCGACTATTGTGAATAACGTAGTTTAATTCATTGTCGTTGTCCAACGCTATAGATTTGTGAATTTCACCGTGAAAAAGTGTTGACATACGAGTTCATGTGTGGGGTCAATTTTATACCTTTTTGTTGTATTCATTTTTAAGTAATTATGGAGTTCAACGATTTGATTGAATATCGTAAAAAAAAAAATGTATAGATTAATGACGATAAATAACTAAAGATTTCTGAGATAGCCTTAGGATTTTTATTTAAATATAATAATAGATACTTATCTATTTTTTATTTTTATTATTTTTATCTGGTTAAGTCTTAATATTATACTTTAAATAATAGTAAAAATGGTTAAACACCTGTGCGTCCGAGCTGTCTCGTTCGGGCGCCGTATAACATAGATGACGTGTCAATTAAAAAGCTGGTGGGATGTATGTTGATGACGCCCCCAGTTAATACATTCTATAGAAATGTATGGATGATCTATGGAATGCATTAACTGAGGGCGCCACCAGTAGAAGAATACAAAGCCTCGAACCGTTAGATAAGGAAGCACGTCATCTTTTTTTCTGTTTCACACAAGTATTCCATAAGAAATTCGATTTATAGAAGATTCAGTTCGATTCTCGGTTAGGTTTTTTGTGATTTTTTTTAAATTTTTTCTTATCACGCCTATTTATTTATTTTTATTATATTATTATTATAATTACTATTATTTATAGATCGGACCAATTACATCATTTTTCTCACTAATTACCGCTTTATTTTTTGAATAATTAATGTCATTACGTCAATCAGTCAAAACATAAATTTAAAACCGACCAATACTCACATGTGACTATGTTGTAGATGGCAGATTTCATCCCATGCACCAGGGATGTAAGCAATATAATGAATTTAATACGATAAAGGCCCTATGAAATAGCTCCTACGTGCATACAACCACTGAACCACAGTCACGAACGAAAATGCAAATTTGAAGCGTAGGACGAAAGCCACTTTAAATCACAATTGATGCTGGTAAGTGAACACCCTAAAACATGGTAACGAATAAATGTAAGGCAATGAAGTTCTGTGGAACAACACTTATCAAACATCAAAATAAAGAAAAACATGGTTTGAACAAAAAATGGCTGTAGTAATAACAACACACGTGAATGAATTTGAGGTGCACACAACGAAAAAAGACAAGATATTAAAGATAATTGTGCATCATACGACGATAGTCGATTCACGACGAAAGCTACGGCCGTCAGATACCATGATGATGATAAAAACGCCTCAGTGCCACAGTGAAAAGAAGACTTGTGATCTCAGTGCCTCATGACTCTTAACTAAAAGAACAATTGATAATTATAAAGAAAAGACGAAAAAACAGACATTACCGTACAATGATTACAGCGGACTAATGGACAGCTGCCGACTTCCTTGTAGTGGAATTATAATGATTAAAATATCATAACTTCTTTCAAAACATTTTTAAAAAAAATTATCATTTTCATTTTCTCGTTAAATTTTTTAGCAAGAAATTGGACTAAAAATTTACAATATTTACGTATAATAAACGTTAAAAAAAATTTGAACATTAAAGATTATTTTCTTTTGTTCTAAATATTACCCAGTAAAAAAAGAAAATCGGGCTATTCAAATATTAGTAAAAAATATCTATGAACACCAATCATGATTTTTTAGTCGATGTATGAAAAACTCTTTATTTTGAACACTGAACAGTTAAAAATCATCCATTTTAATTTTTGTCAAAATAATGTATTATATTAAAGTATACAACTACTG